AATATGTAAAAACATGCAAATATGATTCTACTATTTCTGGTAAGAATGAAGAACAAATCTATTGAAAAAGAAATTAGTGAACAAAGCAGAGTCCTCTAGTGCAGATGTTGTTACTGGTTAAAGTAGACTATGACATACTATCAGTTTTAGGTGAGCTATGAATACCAAGTAGGAGTATATTCTCACTTCAGGTCACCTCCTTTAAGATGGTAATAAAATGGCACTTTGGTCATGCCTATAAAATGGTATACACATACACACACCACCATCACCATGTACAACAAAACACCAAGCTTCTGCCATAATATGTCTCATATTACCTAAAAGATCAAGAAAACATGACGATAAGAGAATTTGATTAATTCATTCATTTTAAGTCAACCATGGGTTGGTAATAGTAATAGTCCATTAGCTAAAAATTTCTTTGTATTTGTTTCTTGATTATCTTTAGGCACTTTGTGACAGGTTAAAAAATACAAAACACTCTATCAAAATTATCCATTGATGAGGTTCCTGATTGATTCCATGGATTTTGCAACACTGCTATTTGGTAAATATTCTGCAATTCTGTTGGAGGCCATGTGGTATAGACTGGAAACATAGCTTTGGGAAGCAATCTGGCTGGGTGCAATCCTGCTTTGCCATTTACTAGGTTTGTAACTTGGATTTCACCATGTCTCACTTTACTCATCTGTTAATGGAGATAAATGTACTTACTACCCAGAGGTTGTAGGAGGCTTCAGTGAGTAAACACATTTAAAGCATTTAAAAACATTGTCTGCAACATATTAAGTACTATGTATTTGCTAATTTGTAGTTGTTATATTATACCTGAATATCAACAGAAAGCCAAGAAGTTTCACTGTGAATCATTTTTCGGCCAATAGGCAAAGGAAAGCATGTTATTAATACTTCCTTCAAATATCACTAGCAGAAAAGGTCACCTGCTAAAAACTGGGAAATTGCCACATATTAATTCCTTTGATGCCACATGTAAGAAATCTATAAGGCCATGTGGCCTCAGCAAGGTAATTAACAAAATGGTTCCCCCTGTATCTCTAGTGCTCAGGATCACTGAACAACAGCCCCACCGAACATCCCAACAGTTTTTATTTTGAGACAGAGTTTCATGAAGTTGCTAAGGCTGGCCTCAAACTTGTGATCCTCCTCCCTCAGCTTCCTGAGTTGGTGGGATTGCAGGCTGTGCCATCACACCTGGATATTTTTAGTCATTAATCCAAAATAAGGCCTTATAATTTAAAAATCCTCTATAAACATTTGTATTTCAGAGTTTTCCCCACTTGGATTCAAGATAGTTAATGTAAAAACAACAAACATCACTGTATCATGCTATCCAAACTGAACCAAAAGAGTGTTATTTTAAACCACCTCCATTGAAATTGTTTCATTTTTATCAAGTTTTAACAATGTAATCATTGCCTCAAAATGCTAACTATTTTAGTACGAGAGAAATTATTACCCATAGCAAAAACATGATTCTACTTCTTTGAAGCTTGCAGTCTATGATGCATATATTACAAATTGAAATTTTACCATTTATTTGTTTAATTTTGCTATTTTCTAATTCCCAGGGAGGGTGGTCATTTCCCTACATATTCAGCTGATTAAAAAAAAAGAAATTCTGATAAATCATTTTCACAGAACAAAAGCAAAAGCCAAAGACATCACTCTCATTATGCAATAGTTTTAATCTTACATTATATGGTTATTTATCAAGAAAAAATCTATACCTAATGGGATTCAATAATTGACCATCAAATAAAGAGAATTGTTTTAAAATATGTATAATAAAAACATGTACTTACTATCTCTGTACTCTTAATTCCTGAGGCAATTTAATGCAAAGCTAAATTTTATCAGTTAGACCAAAAAAGCATTATTTATAAGAAAAACTTCCTCATAAGAACCTGGTGATTATGTTTGCTTAAAATACTTAATTCAGAGTATTTTACTCCAAAATTTTACTTTCCTAAAAATGACTAAACTTCTAAGTTACCAAACAGAGTTCTGAAATTCTGAGACTTTTAATCAAATGAAAAGAAAATTCTTGCAAAAAAATACTAGAAATTAATTAATTTTAATGTACATAATAATTTCTATCTTATTATAGTTAATAAGATTCCATGGGTAGCTTGTTTCTAACTTAAAGTGACAGGAATATTATTGGAACTTAACACGTTGGTCAATAAATTGATTAGTAAATTCTGTCACTTCATCTTCATGTTATTTGAAGTAGCTAGTGAAATTCAATGTCACATCACCCATGTAACCTAATAGCCTTTGTAAAAAGTGATGGGTATTTGACTAGGTTAAGTAAATATAGTATTGTAATTCAAAAGAAGCACAACTGAAGGTGTACAATATGGTACCTTTGATAACTATAACTCTGTTCAAAACTGCATCATAGTAAACATACCAGAAGGCAGATATTACATATTTGACAAGTAAATATGGGATTCATTTGTAAGAAAACATAGTTAAATATTTGTAATTTTTCATCCTTAGTGGCTGTATCAATACAGTGAAAAGGTTTGATCTCAATTGATTTTCCTGTCTGTTCTAGATAACTCTGTTATAAAGAAGACCATTTCTCTTAAAGGATTATGCCTGTGAGTTTCAATGACTGTATCAGAGGAACTGTCTCAGTCATGTAAGATACTATCCATGTCATGCAGCCACTTTTCCTGAAAGCTCAGAGGATAAAATCTTCAGATGCTCCAGTTCCTGATGTAAAACAGTACAGTATTTGCATTTAACCTATGCATATCCTCCCATATACTTTAAATCATCACTAGATTACTTATAATGCCTAGTACAATGTAAATGTATATAAATAGTTGTTAGTCTTTATTGTTTAAGGGACAAGAAAAAAGTATGTACATGTTCAGTACACATAAAACTTTTTTTTTTCTGAATACTTTGTGATTGTTGAATCTACGGATATGGAACCTATAGATACAGAAGGCCAATTTTATTTATTCTAAACTCCAATGTTCTTTGTTTTTTTTTTTTTTTTTGTACCAGAAATTGAACCCAGGGCTGCTTAACCACTGAGTCACATCCCCAGACCTTTTAATATTTTATTTTGAGGTAGAGTCTCACTAAATTGCTTAGGGCTTCACTAAGTTGCTGAGGCTGGCTTTGAACTTGCAGTACTCCTGCCTCAGCCTCATGAGCCGCTGAGATTACAGGTGTGTACCTCCGTGCTCAACTAAAACTTCGATGTTCTTATTTTTAACATGAAGATAACAATAGTATAAATTTTATAGGCTTATAAGATCAAATTAGATGACAATGTAAAGGGCCCACACCCTGCCTATCACCAAATATGTACATAAAATGCTATTATTTGAGAAAGAATTTTTCCTAGTGCCACTTTCCCCTTAGGAGACTGGAGTTGCAACTTGAAGCTAAGGAAAGTACTTTCAGGTGAAACTTTCACTTTTTTCCTTTTAAAATATTTATTTATTTTAAATATTTGAGGCCCAAACAATATTGCTTCAGGACTAAAGGAAAAAATAAAATTCAGTATTTGGAAGAGAAATAACCTCTGCACCTCTGCTTCAGCACAGTGAGGCCTGGGGAGTTCTGGTGAACTATGGCACCACATGGTTTTATGGTTTTGAAAGCACCAGGGAAGAAGCAGTATTCTCACAAGAGGTGCCTCTCCCAAATGACTTTTGAGAAACTGGATGTGAAGGTGGATGGGTGAGAAGCATTTGGGGAACTGGTCCTGAGCAGATATGAGAAGTCAAAGATTACCGGAAATGACTAGAGCAATTTGGACAGGGGATTGCTGTGAAGCTCAGTTTCATACCAAGAGGATGACCTGGAGATGTTTGCCTCATTCATACACAAATATAGCAATAGCAGGCAGAGAATGCTAAGGACAGATGAACTAGACAAGGTTGGGGATGCTGTGAAGTTCAAGGGAGAAAGAAATCAGCATGAGGAGAATATTCAGAGACCTGGAACACAAAAGAAATCAGCATGAGGAGAGTATTCTGGCCCTTGAAAAATGGCAGAGACCAAGTTTCCTGAGGAACAGATTTTAAGTGGGAAAAACAGGTGAGCACAGGTGATGAGGAAATACATGCATGGGGCTTCAGCAACAATGACTGGAAAAGGGCTGAGTGGGTGGGTAGTGCGTGAAAGGGAGAACTGGAAGAAAAGGCTAGGAAAATAGTCTGGGCTCATATTTCAATGGCTTCAGGATCTGGATTCAATCCTTCCGGTGATGAGGAATAAGAGAAAAAAAGATTTTGATTAAGGAAACCTCTAGTGAAACTAGTTATTCATAAGACTAATCTGGATTTACATGTGGTACAGAATAGGAGAAATGCACAGGGTATGTGAACATGGTTAGAAGACTTCATATATGAGAGGAAGCACAATGGAATATAATACTGGCACAACATTACTTGCCATTTTCTAAAATAGCATCTATAGGGAAAAAAGGAAATCTAGTTAAGTGTAGTCTTTTATTACACCTCAATTTCCATTGGAGAAATTATTTATTTCTCCATGTGCCAATGGATATGGCAGTAAGCCATAGCTTGCTTATTCATAAATTGCATAAGCACACTTTAAGATACACTAAAATTTCCAGTATTGCTTTAATGAAATCCCTCTTTATCTCTTTATTTATTATCTAATTCATGCATGTGCTTTAAAAAATATAACAGTGTTCTTCCAATATCCTTAGGCATCTCAATCCCTGATTATTGAAGTACTTCTATATAATGGTAGTTGTGATAGAAGAGTGTCATATAAAAATATTGTTTCCCCTCATTCAGAGTCCCTGAAAAAAATAATTCTTATATAGATTGGTAAATCAATTCAATAGTTTGCCTGCTGCTAATCCCTGTCGATATATGCAGTTGGTTCACATTCTTCTGCCAAAATTTCAGTAGGGAAAAAAGTTTCATTCAAGCAATGAGTGGGTTTTTGAGGACATTCTTGTAACTACAAATACTCACTTGAGCTCTGCAACAAGATTCTTGGTAAAAGACCGTCATTACTCAGTAGGGTTTCCAGAAGCAGGTTCCAGTTACAACCTGGCTGGGATAAGAGCAGTTTCAATTGACCCTCCGCTTTCAGTCCTCCAGCTGATGGAGTCCTTTCAAAATGCAAGATAAAGATGGAGTAATGAAGTTAATTTATCTATGAAATTAATAGCCTTAAAGTACAGATGTAATGCTAACTCCTTTAAATGTCAATTCCTCCCAGATTAGTCTGAAAATGCTTTCATGCTTACTTACTTTCGGGTTGCTCAGGGAAGGAATTACATTTAATCTCAACTAGCTAAAAGCAAATTAACATTTGGTAGCTTGCCAAATTTCAAACTGATACAAAATAACCATGCCTACATTTCACAGAACCATGTCTATTTTTGTTTCATGGAGAGAAGAAATTATTTATGCGCTTATTCTAAATGCATTAATTCATTCACTCAACAAATACACAATGAATGCCTACTATGTGCTATTAATTAACTCCTTTTGTTATTCACGGAAAGAAGTTCCAGTGGGATTTTGCTACATTGTGATGTACTATGTGCTATGATGACTGATGAAACTAAAGGAATCAAAGCATCTGTCAAGTGTCAACCATAATATAATTATGTAATATGTAAAATCTTAAATCAACATGCAATCAGCAGAACTGCTACTAATAGTAACATTACTATCTACTTGGATAATAATTTCATCAAAGAGAAATACTTCTAAGGTAAATAAGCTTCTTTTTGCAAAATTATCATCAGTGTTGAATAGAAAATTGAAAACAGGTCCCTCACATCCCCATCAATGTATTGACAGGAGATCAGAAAGTAAAGTAGAAATTGGAAACTGACAATACAATTCACTTTTATCTTAAAATATTTCAAAATTTAGATCATATGAAGGTCACAACATGGGAAATTAACTTGCAACAACAACCACCACAAAGCAGGCAATAGTCAAACACTCTAGTTGGGCCACATTGATTATGAGAACAGTGTGCCATTTGGAAGGAAAAGTGTGTTTGAGGAATGCAGAATTGTGAATGAGAGGACTGGATGCTCCAGACTGAAAAGGTATAACTAAGAGAGACAATTTGTGGTATTAACATTAGGGGATGCTGTTGACTGAGTGGTGAGCCATCCAGTTATCAACACAGTCAAGACTTCTGGTTTTCTAAGCTTGGGCCCCAGACCAGAAGCATTAGGGTCACCTGAGGACTTGTTTAAAATGCAAATTCTCAAGCCTTATTCCACTAGAAATTTGGGAGGTAGGTCCGCAAAATCTATTTTAATAAGCTCTCCCTAAGAGAAGCAGATACATGTTAAAGTTTAGGAACCATTGTAGTAGGCAGTGCATTTGGGGACACAGGTAGTAGAAACAGAATGAGTTAGCATCATCTGCTGTCTCCAGGTCTTTGTGCCCATGCAGGTCAGCCTTGGCTGCTACTTGCAATGGACTGAGTGTTTATGTTGTCCCCAAATTCAAACCCCAACCCCAATAAGATGACATCTTGAGATGAGATTCTTGGATATAATTGGTTCATGAGGGTAGAATCTTCATGAACGAGATTAATATCGCTATAGAAGAGGCCAAAGAACTTCCTTGCCCTTTTCTACCATGAAGATATCAGAAGTTGGCTGTTGAAAGAAGGTCCTCACCAGAATGTGACCGTGCTGATAACCTAATGTTGAACTTACAGGCTTTATAACTATGAGAAATAAATGTCTCTTGCTTAAGTTATCAGAAATATGGTCTGTTTTTTATAACGGCCTGAGCTAAGACACCATTCACTCAATGAATTTTCTATGACCCTGAATCTTTATCTTAATCTTACCCAATCTTGAATTTGCAACAACAACAACAACAACAACAACAAAAATTCCCACTTTTTTCCCCTGAGAAGTCTTGACTAAAATTTTCTCTTCACAGTGGTCTCACTCTGAATTAAAACACTTATGACAAGCATACATATTTTAGCACTTGATTATTTCTTCAAAACTTTATTTCACTATCCATATTCAAGTCTCTGAAGATATTCATTTTATATACCTTAAAGCTCCCAAACTCAGCATATTTAAACTCTCTATAAACATTAGCTGATTGACTTGTCTGCTCCTAAATGAGTAGGCAAAGTTTTAAGAAAAAAAATAATGCTTTGCTAAAAGTATGAATTAAACAAAATCAAGAGAATTTGAGGATATAAAATGGAGAAGTTTGAAAGTACCTCTTCCTTTGCTTGGCTTTGCATTTGGAACAATTCATACCTTATGACCCACAAAATTTTTCAGCCTGTGCTTAAAATTTGGACAGACTCAGATTCTATATGAAGCTCTGATAACATAACTGGAAGCGGGCAAACTGCTCAGGCACTTGGTAGGCTGTGTTAGCTAGGGAAAGTCCTGCCCTGGCTGGGTAGTGAAGAGAGAAGAGGGAAGTTACTTAACCCTCAGGCTGGAGGAATCAAGTCCACTAGTTCTGAGCATCCCAGGAGTTCTGATTAACTGTCCCAGAGAGTTCTGGTGTTTGGAGAAGTTCCAAATGTGGTACCAAGAGATACAATACTCTTCCTGACTTCCATCATAAACCATAAATGCTGACTTAGAGAAGCTCCGCTGAGGGATAGTGGAGGAAAAACTGTTGGTAGTAAGTTATGTATTTAAATCAACTTTGTTTTTTAATGTTTCCTATCAATATGTTGTGCTCAAATTGAGAGCTGACTTAAGGATAGAACTGAAAAACCCCAGTTTGGCTGGAGTGAAGAGAAGAGGATTTTGGAGAAACAGTTTGAAGAAGGAGGCTGGAACTGGATCATGGAGGTCCTCCTCATATACCAAGGTGGGGATTTTGAATCTACTGAAGAGTTTAAGGTAGACAAATTTCCTGATCTGTTTGCAGTATGGAGAAGGGATGGAGGTGGTTAGTGTTTTTACTCAGTCATATAACAAAACAAAATAGTTTGAATGTCATTTCTTTCCACTGTAACTGCATACCTGGTTATAAATAAAATCTCTCATTTACCAGATGGAAAGCTGTTTGTTGAAACATACCTCAGTTCTTGGATCTTTCAACTTATCACAATTTTGAAATGTACAGTAGAATGACTCACTATGAGGAAAAATAAAATAGTACAAACATTCCTAAATCACCAAGCTCTGAGTAATAAAATGCATTGAGGAGTCTGTTTGGGGCATATGGAGAAGCATATGTTCCCTCATCCTTTGAGCTGGTGGATCTGTGAAAGTGAAATTAGCCTTAAAAAAATGACAGGGAAATTTTAGATATATGTATATATGTATGTATCAAATATGTACATGTTGAATTCCATTATGATACAAAGAAGAGAACAAAACTGTATTAGTTCAACAGAACTCATATATCTCATATTGAAAGACAAAACAAATTTATGACTATGTTGAATTAACCCATTATGTCCCATCATTCCACTTACAGAAGACCTAAAAAACTTAAATTGCACCATTTATAGTAGCTCTGAAATAAATATTTATGTTTTTAGAATTCTGATCTTTTGAGAAAAGTAATAGATAAATGATTATGATAATATTAACATTATTAATGGTATCATTAACAGTATTAATGATACTAAATCATATAATAAGCTGTAGATTATGATTTCCAATCTTTTTTAATGCACCTATTTCAATTTCATTAAAATATTCACAGAATTGAAAACTTGGGACTTAATGAGTTAAGATTATACTCTAAAAATTGCTATATTTCTGGGGCTTGGATTGGCCTAAATTTTTTTTCAACTACCTATAGTAATGGAGTTCAACCATCACTGGTTTATGAAAATAACAAATTATTGTAAAAATGTTAGCTGTATTCGGGTATATTTATATAAATTAATCAAGTAGTTTGTTTATAATTTTAAAAAATTTTGGTTTGTGTTTATACTGAAATAGAAAACTTTTTTTAAAAAGTCTCTTCTATATCAGCACATACAGTCCTAACTTTCAGCTTGACTGTTAAAGCCCAGCCTGAAAGAAGGCTCTGAAGCAGGTTTGAACTGTGAGCAGTTTTACTGCTCAAGCTTTATGACCATGGGATTCATTTATCCTACCGTATATGTATCACAAAGAAGTTACAAGATTAGCAAAACATTAGAATGTACTTCTAAAAGCACAATGTGGGATAATATACAGTGGTGGTGGAGCACTATTCTTCTAGATTTGACATTTACTTTGAACTAACAAATTGCTGGCTTCAAAAGATAAACTATAGAGGTCTGGGAACCAAGGGGTGAAAGTAGTAAGGACCCCTCTTACTAAAGCTCTTGATGATTCTCTTGAAATTTGGTCTTTATTCCCCTAATCGCCAGAAGCTCTGTGCAAGTGGAGGCCCTGGTTTCCATGGTGGGGTAGGGTATATACACCTCTAACAGAAGACCATTTAGGATTCCACTAAACCTAAAATCATAGTTGCCATGAAGTTATCTTTGGTTCCTCCTGTCAGAAGTCTATCAGGCAAAGAAAGAAATCACTCTATTGGCAAGGGCTATTAAACCTAGTTATCATGAAGAGCTAGGGTTGTTGCTGCATAAGACAAGCAGGGAGAAGTATCTGTAACTGAAGGGATTCCTCAGGGCATCTCTTGATGCTCTCAGGTTTGTTAATGACCATATGTAGGAGAAAGCAATAACTGCCATTCTATTCCAAAAGAATGGAAACTAATGAGTTCACCCCCTGGAGGATGACGATCATAATGACTGCCCTGGGCAAGCAGCATAAGTCAGCAGATATGATGGTCAATAGTGAAGGGAAGATGGGAGAGTTGTAGAAGAATATAATGATGAATATTATTTCAGACTCAGAAATAACTGCCACAGAGAGTACTCTACCTTGTCCTACCAACTCTTTCCTAATTAAATTTTTCTTAGAAAGAAAGAAAGCCACCTTGAAGAATCAATAATAGGCCTCTGAGAACACGAGAAAGAAGTAGATCTCAGTAGTGCAAGGGGGGACCACAGCAGATGTCCATGACCGTACATCCTTTTGCCCTTACCTCACAGATCACACTGGCCTGAACAAAGGAGCAAAGATGCTTTCAGTCTATGTTTCTTTCCAGCAAGACAGGCTGTTAGTGCCCTCAATCAATG